TATATATATATATATATATATACACTAGATTTTATACACGTGCAATGCACGTGGTTAAATACCATGGATAAATTTTTTTGGCTTATTTTCTAACTAAAGTTTGTTCCTTAATAGTTTGTGCTTACTTTTATCTCTAAACTTTAATATTGTGATTATTTATTTTATTTGATGTCCGTTTAAATGGGCCACACCCAATAAAAATTTTTATGTTGATATTTGAATTCACAGAAAACAAATATAATTTGAAGCTAATTTGAATTTTCATATTATTTTGACTGACATGAAACCAAGCTTTACTTGAGAAAGTATAGTGTTGTCAAAATAAAAAATATTGCAATAGTGTTATACAAGAAAGGTGAATATTTAAAACCAATAAGCCAAAATGATTGATTAAAAGTATTCTAAAACGATACAAAAGAGAATATGGAGTTTGTTTTCTTAATCATTGATAGACTTCATAAAAAATTATAAATTAAAGATTAATGATAACTCTAGAATATTTTTATATGATAAAAGTATCTACATAAGCATATAAAAGCACTAAAAATGTTTATAAAACTCCCTTCTAAAGATTTCTAATTTTACTTAAAATAATTAAACTATTCTACAAAATATTCAGAAAATATTATCTTTTATTCATTCTATTTTATTTTTTATTGAGCTAAGATCAATCCATCTTCACCTTTATTTCTTTTCTAGACAATTCTAGAGTAGCGTCTTCATCATCTACATCGATTGTGATATTAGACTGGAGTTGTATTTTTTGTGTTGCTATCTTCCTGGGCTCATTAATCTTTTATCCTCTCTTTTAACTTCACAAAGAAGTTAAATGTATTTCTGATATTCAACACAAACTTCTTAAATACAGACTTTGATTTTATTCTATTTTATTAAGAATAAGTGTTAATTTTATATATATGAAATTCTTTGTATTCCTAATTTATTACTTAAATAAGATTGAGAGCTACCTCTTTTTTTTTTGAATTCTTCTGATGTTCATCCAATAAGAGTTCTGCTATGTTAATAATATTATCTTTACTCCATCCCTGTCATTTTCGACAAAGATTTAAACTAAATACCTACATTTTTCGTTACCAATTTGATTAAGATTATAATATTAATATTTAATTTTTTTAGTATTTAGAGAATAAAATATGAAATTTATGAATACATACTAATTTTTTTTATATTTTCCATGGAGAATTTTTCTTTGATTAAGATAAAATTATTAAATTATTCTTCAATGTAACTCAATCACTACTTTTTTAATAGATATGCCTTATGTTAATGCCAATTCAAGTGATTCATGAATGTTTTCTTAATTTTAGAATTATTTCCGTCATTTTTCCATTTGAAATGGAAATAGCTTAATTCTTTTGAAGAATATATTTAAACATTCTGATAATTTCTCCATATATAATTCTTTGTATTCTTTTATCCTATAAATATTATTAACATTAGAGATTAATATTTCTAAATTATAGTCAATTAATGCTAAGCTATTATATTATAATATTTTATTATTTTTATGGATTTAAACATCTATCAATTAATGTTACTAATATATTTTTTCTACTCCAACTTATTAATAAAATTGTATGCAGTTGCTTTAATTTATATAGTGATGATAACTTTTAAGTTATAATATTTTTAAAAATTTTATTCCTTAACCGGATGTTTTTAATCAATTCTTACTACTTTTGTTTATAAGTATCACCTTAGACTATTTTTAAATGTTGAAAAGGGAAAGTAAATCCTAATTAAAAATTATATATATCTTATTTTAAGAATACCAAACAATTATACTTTTCTTTACCAAGTTTTAAAATTTTAGTCCTTTTTGTGGTTTTGAACTTTGAGGGTGTGATTTTTAATTTTTAAACCTTTGTGAGTGTTTTTAAAAAACTTACTTTTAAGTTTGGTAGTTATAACTTCTATATTTCATGTGTTTCTAATCTATAGTTTTAATAATTGTAAAAAGCATCCTAAAAATTTTAGAGTTGTAAGAAATATCCTGACATTTAAAAATTATCACTGACTCAGATTAGTTAGTTATATGTAAATGGAAACAAAAAGGAGCGGGATGTCTGAAGTCGTAAGATAGCGGGCGATCTACTCTCTACTATCGTGCGCCCCCGCTTAGTTTTCAATAGCGAAGAAGAAGAATAGACGCGGAAGGAAGATACTCAGTATTGGTCAGCGATCTTCAAGCTCTTGTTCGCAAAGCTCTTGAGGATCATTTTGATACTAATCTTGAGGAAGATGATGATGAACTCAACGAAGATGTTATGGGCTCGACAGGTCCAAAAGGAGATAAGATGAAGAAATCAATGGAGGAATTCCTCGGATCTACTGATTTCTTGTCTGGACCTCATCGATCCCTAGGTACTCCTCTGATGGAAGGAATTCAAGCTCGACATCTCAGAAATGGAATCAGTAGCTCATCTAGGGCCTCCTGGGCTGATGAGGTTGAATTGGAGGTGATTCCCTCTGTTTCTTATTTTTCTCAGGCTTTAAACTCTAAATCCACAAGTGTCCTTAGCTCAGATCAAGAGATTTCAAAAGTAATTTCTGATGCTGATACTTTTCCATTGACTGAAACTGTGGAAATCAATTATGATGAATTAGTAAATGAGAGAGCTAAGTCTAATAATGATTCAGTATCTTCTGGTAATTTGAAATCTGGAAAGAGAGGGATAAATCTAATGGTAATGATGATAATATGGAAAAACTTGATCCAATACCTAGAAAAACCTTCGCAAGCTTGTTTGCTGCTAACAGGTAATTAGGTAGTGGTCTGTCTCTGAGCTACATGCCATCTTCCCAATCAAAAACTGCCTCTTTTACTATTGATGAATGGAAAGAAGGGGAACAATTGTGGAGAAATGCTTTAATAGGGCATGTTATTGGTTTAAATGTTAAATTTCAAATCAATGGAAACATATGTGAGTAAGATATGGGGAAATTATTCTATTCCAAAGGTTTCTTTAATCAAGATAGGTCTGCTCCTTTTTGATTTTCAAACGGAGAAGCAGATGAAAGATGTCTTAGAGGCAGGCCCCAAGTTTTTTGGTTCTAGGCCTTTGATGCTAAAGATATGGAGTATTAACACTGATTTGGATAAAATTCAAGACTTTTCCTATCCACTTTGGGTACAATTCCCTAATCTGAAGCTAAACCTTTGGAGTTCAATTGGGATCAGTAAGGTAGCTAGCCTCATTGGTAAACCTATATCAACAGATAAACTTACTGCTACTAGGCAAAGGTTAAGCTACGTAAGAGTTTTAATAGAAGTGAACTTGCTTTTGAAAGAGGCCTTACCAGATCAAATTGTCATTCAAGATCCTGATGGAAGGAGCTATGCTCAGTAAGTGATATATGAACTCAAACCAAGGTGGTGTACATCATGTAATAAACTTGGACATGAAACTGGTCAGTGTAGAAGGAATAAAACAAAATTTTGGGTTCCTGTAAACAGACAAAATGCTCAAAATCATGCTGTGAATCCAGTTGTGAATGTACAAGGAAAAAGTTTACATCATAATGTTGATGTGAGAGGTTTAGATGCTGGAACAACTGCACATAAAAACTCTGACTCTGGGGTGTATGAAAGTTCAAGTGCAAAACATGCACAAGATGTTATGAAACATGCACAGTCTCAAGTTATTGCTGCTGATGTTGTAATTCAGTCACCTCCTGGGTCAACAAAGAATTCTGAAGCTAGAGATAGGTCAAATATATTTGGCTTTGTCACACAGGGTCCTGTTGCTATGACAAGGGTTCCTAGTTTAGCTGCACAGTCAAAGGAGCCAACAAAATCTGTACTTGCTAGGTGTTAATTCTCTGGGGAGCTTCATTTCTCTCCCACTATCAATACTACTGGTTTCACTAGTGTCACCAGAGCAAACGCAGCTAAGAGAATCAATTTTAAAGAGCCTGGTAATCCAATCCATGCATCACAATTCTCAAGTTTGGAGCACCAGATACTTGATTTAGACCGCTATAGCAATGATAGGGGTGGTATTTCCCAATAAATGCATTTAGCCATCTGGAATATTAGAGGGATTAACAAACCCTCTAAACACTTGACTGTTAAGCAGTTCATTCAGGATTACAAAATCTCGTTCCTTGCTCTCTTAGAAACTAAAGTGTCTATAGAGAAAATGAAGATCATTGCTAAAAAAGTTGCAAAATATTGGAAATGAATTTCTAATGTGCATCACACTGCTAACAAAGCCAGGATATGGATTCTTTGGGATAATAATTATCTCTCTGTCCAGAATATTAATACTTCTGATCAATTCATTACATGCAATGTGGAATCAAAAGATGGAAGACTAAAGTGTTTAATCACAACCATATATGTTCTCAATCATATGGAAGGCATAAAAGTTCTTTGGGATGATCTAATGGCTTTCAAAAGGAATGTGTCAGGACCTTGGCCAGTAGGAGGTGATTTCAATGCCATACTTAATAGTGAAGAGAAGCTAGGAGGGACTCAAATAACAGATTCAGAGGTTGAGGACTTTCAGAATTTTATTGATACAAGCCAGCTTAAACATATTAAATCCACTGGATGTTTTTTCACTTGGAGTAATAAGCAGGATGCATCTACAAGAGTCTGGAGCAGGTTGGATAAAATTCTAGTTAATGAAGACTGGATTTTCCAATATACATCAAGCCAGATGGATTTTCTGATGCCATATTGTTCTGATCACTCCCCAGGATTGTTAACAGTTGGAGATGAAGGTAATTGTGAAGGCAAGAGGCCATTCAAATTCTTTTCTATGTGGACTAAACACCCAGACTTCCTACCAGCAGTTAGCTCAGTTTGGAATAAGCATATCTCTGGATACAGCATGTACAGGGTGCAAAACAAGTCAAAAAACTCAAACCTGTGTTCAAAGACCTGAATAAAAGGCACTTCATGAATATTAGTGAACAATTATCCAGAGCTAAAGTAGAGCTATATGATATACAAGCTCAACTAAGTTCTGACCTTTTTAATCCAGGTCTGATTACCAGGGAAAAGGAACACATTAGGAAATACACAAAGTTACTTGATTGTGAAAACTCATTTCACAGGCAAAAAGCTAATATCAAGTGGGGATTGCAAGGTCATAAGAGCACCCAATATTTCCATGCTGTTATGAAGAATAAGAGACACCACAATAGAGTGCTGTCTATATACACGGAAAATGGTATCAGGATTACAGATACACAAGATATCATCTCTGAATTCATTCAATATTATAAAAAACTGCTTGGAACCATAATACCCACTACACCTCCTGATCCTGTGGTTATCTCTAAAGGGCCAATTCTCTCTTCCAATCAACGCATTGAGCTTAGTAAACCTGTCACCAGAGAGGAAATTAGACAAGCTGTCTTCACTATGTCAGATGGAAAAGCCCCAGGCCCAGATGGATTTAGTGCTTCTTTCTTCAAGGCTGCATGGGAAGTCATTAATGAAGATATATTCATGGCAGTTGAGGAATTTTTTTAGTTCAGGTAAACTTCTTGGTGCTCTAAATTCTACAACCATTACCTTGGTTCCCAAAATACTCAACCCAAACTCAGCATCTGACTTCAGGCCAATAGCATG